GTTTATTAATAAGATAGAGTGGACTAAACTGAGTCGAAAAGCCTTTTACCAGTAATTTATAATTTTCGCAATATAGTTAACAAGATATTAATTACTAAAATATTAATTTTCAAGAATTTTTCATTCAAGTACTATCAACTTTACAGAAAAACAGCAAGAGACAAAAATTGTTTATTTTCTTTTCATAAAATTCTAGAAATTTTTTCATAAATTTTTATCAACCTTTTAGTGCTGCATTTTCTTATTAACAACTGTTTTTATGAGAAAATATTAAAAAATTCTGAAAAAATTCCCGGAACTTTATGAAAATAAAATAAACAATTTTTGCTCACAATAGGAGAAATATTAGGAACAGATATTAAATATAAGAATTTTAACCTATCAGAACTGTGTACTGTGGAATGTGCGCTTTCTGACAGGTTAAAATTCTTATATTTAATATCTGTTCCTAATATTTCTCCTATTGTGCGTAGACCCTAAGAGATTGAAATACGAAGAAGAAGAAGAACAAGATTAAAATATACTATATCCGGAACAAAAACTCAACTTAACCTGTTTTTGGACAAATGGGTGTAAACCACAGACTTCTATATATACTACTTGACTGATAACTCCCTTAATACAAGCTTGTAAAAAGTAGAGACCCTCTAACAGAGACTGGCCATCAGGCGAGTCCGGCATTTCCTAGCGAAATCCTACAAGTGAGAGAGAAATATAGGCCATTTCACTCTTTCACTCACACGAATATGTGCGTTTGTATGTGATCGTTTATTCAAGTTGATTTGAGTTGATTCAAGGTTGTGTTCGTGGTTTTTGCTCAGTACAAAATAATAACAATAAAAATGAGAGATTGCACTGCACAATTCTGGAAAAATTATTTAATATCTGTCTTTAGTCAGGTTACGGCTAAATATGTTTTAAATTATCAATTGTTTCCTAAAATTATTAGAAAGTTTGTCGTATTCAAATTAAGAACATTAAGTAAGAAAAATACTAATATTAATAGAAGATATGACAGTAAATCATTGGCAGTACACACCTTTTTTAAATAAATTTTACAAATGTTAAGTGTTTGTACTTTTGTCACTGATTTCCTAACCTTACTTTAATTTTATTTGAAAAAGATTTAATAGAATTAAGAAAGAGAAAATATTAAATATAGAAATTATTTAACGTATAAACAAAAAGAACGAAGACAATATAAGAGTCAATTTTTAAAATTTAATAACAAAGTCAAAAATTAAATCATAAATGTCAAAAAACAGCTATTATAACAAAGTTATTTAAAGATAAAGATGTATATAACTGACGATAAAACTTGACATGTTTTTTTTTATTTAACTAGACTGCTAACTCCCTTAATACAAGCTTGTAAAAAGTGGACCCTAAAATTTATAATGATCCTGCGCATGCGTTACAAACTACACCGAAGGAATGTAATATGGCTGTGTCCTGCGCTGATTGCGATTGATTGCGATATTGCGAGATAGCCGTATTGTAGCCGTAGGTAAATGTTAAGAAGACTCCCTTCACCTTAACTTGTGATAAAAATATACTCAATTGATGTGGTTTTGCATGAAACGAAAGAATCTGGCAGAAAAAAGTGTCGTTCTGCTTCGCGAACCGAGATATTAAGCGTTAAAGTTGACAACCATGTAGGTTAGTACATCTGTCACAGCTACGAAATTCATTACTTTAAAAATAAATTCACTTTAATGCTTAATATCTCGGTTCGCGAGGCAGAGCGACACTTTTTTCTGCCAGATTCCTTCGTTTCATGCAAAAACTCATCGATTGTATATTTTTATTAAAAGTTGTGATAAAGGGGCTTTTCTTAACATTTGCCTATTATTACAGAGTATATGTACCACAATTTAAAAACCATTTTTAATTACGATGCCAGCAAAGTGTGCCTTTCCAACATGTTACAATACACAAAGTATTGATAAGCTGAGTTTTTTTCAGTAAGAATTATTAGTTAACTTAAAGTCCATAAAATCCGTAAAGTTCATAAAGCCTTAAAGTCCATAAATGTGTAAAAAATACAAAGCAAATAAAAATTGTGATATCAAGTATATTTATATTATGTGATATAAATATATTTATATATATTACGAAATTATCTAAACTGATAAACTAATCTGAAATAAAGCACCTCTTAAACACCTCTATAAACACCTCTTTTACCTCTTCTACGGTACACGTTACGTATACTATAGCATTTTCTTAATTTTTCGTATACGTTTCTCTTACGATGGATTAGAGAATCGGGGCCCAGGTTAAAGCACGGAGCACAGACTTTTGCATAATGCATAAAGCATGTGCATAAGGAATTTCATTGGCCCATTTTCTTATGCATGAGTCAATGGACCAATCAAATTCTTTATGTATATGGTTTATGCGTTATGCAAAAGTCTGTGCTCCCCGCTTAACATGGTGTGCTCAGTTTGCGAGCGTCTCTCTCTAATTCTTTGCCCTCTCGCTTCTTTCCCGACAGGTCGGCATGCAATGCTGCCAACCTAAAGACAAAGATGGTTGCTTTGTTGCACGCACGTATTTAACCTCTATCGGGTTCTTTTTATCTTGACTTATCAACGCTAAGTCGGTAACACTGAAATCGCGAGCGCGTTTGAAATAAGAAGAGTCACTGACAAACTATTATATGTGGAAATTTATTGCGTTTTTTCCTGTTGTATATAAAATTATGGTAAATGTGTCGATGAGGGGACCCCCCTCCAATGACTTTGACCTTGACATATGTTGTCAAGGTCATAACCCTGAGTAACCTCCAACAGGTTTTAGCCGTCGCTCGTCCTTCGTTAAAAAGTTATTAACAATCATACTTTTAAAATAAACGTATTATTTCTGCTATACATATACGATATGAAGTACTAATCTACACCTTTTCCTGTTCAGAAACGTTGAACTTTCCACGCGAAGTAACTTTCACCCTCCCCCCCCCCTACACAGAGGCACACGACTTCTACTATTGCTGTGATTGTACTGTCAGGGCAGACCTCTGTGACGGTGTGGGTGCGTGCGTGCGTGCGTGCGTGCGTGCGTGCGTGCGTGTGTGTGAGAAATATCAAGTAATAGACTCATAATCGTTATATAACGAATGGAACACAATCGTAGAAGTCGTGTGTCCCTTCGCCTGGAAAGTTTAACGTTTCTAAACAGAAGGAGATGTAAAATAGTACTTGTTATAATACACATATGGCAGAAATGATACGTTAATTTTGAAACTTTTTTTGTTAATAACTTTTTAACGGACAGTGACCGCCATCTAAAACCTGCGGGAGGTTACTCAGGGTCATAACCTTGACAACATATGTCAAGGTCAAGATCATCGGGGGAGGGCTCCCCTTTTCTATATATTTACCAAAAATTACATTGTATCAAACCTAATAAAAATGGTTGTATTACTGTAAAAGAGTATTCTAATTCTGAGGAATGTAGAGTATGTAAATTATTTAAACGTTTAAGAAAATAAATTTTGATACCTTCTCGACGAAAAATATTTATTGATTTTTTAATTATAAGAAAAACTCCCAATTTCTCAAAAAATATTGTAAAAATATCAAAGTTATTTATTATATTGAGAATAAATAAAAAAATTGTAGATCATGACAAAATCATGATTTCATATTATTCCATTGCGTAAAAAATACAAAATTAAAAAAAAGTTAATTCGAAAAAAAATAGAAGGAAAAATTTGCCCACGATCAAATTAGTTTTAAAAATCATCAAATAAATCTAAGTTTTTATGAGAATTTTTTCAAAAAAGTTAAAAGTATCATATTTTAAAAAATTAATAATTTTTTACATTAAATTACAAAGAAAATTAAAAAACAATTTTGAAACTTTTCTTGATATATTTTTTTGAAAACTAAAAAAACACAATTTAAAAAAAAAAAACGTTTTGTTTGGATTATTTTTCGCAAAGTTATAGGCATTTAAAAATTGCGAATTTTGAAAAAAATTCATATCTCATGACTATGTTGATAAAAAAATTTGAAAAAAATTATGGTAGTTTCTTGCGATGGGTACTAAATATATCAAAATTTCAGCCAAATAAAAAATCCAAAGTTTTGAGTGGCCCACTTGGCATGGAATGACCCATATATAATAGTAAAGATCTCGCACTATTTGTATGAAAAGTTAAGCTAGGTGAAATGGGATGATTTTTATGTACATACGTGTTAATTATAGTACGTTATAATGCTGTAGTATAAATGTAGTAAAAACCAATTTATTTCACCGAAACTTAATTTTTCATATTATAATTAATGGAGTTTTTTTTCGGAATTATACGTAGATGTATATATTACAAATGCGTGCGTGCGTGCGTGCGTGTTCTCGATATAATATTTTATTTCCATTTTTCTTTTTCCGTTCAATTCTTCATGTGTGTAGACTTTAAATTTTTTAAATATATTTTTTCTTCCATGTATTATTTTTTTTTAATATATCGAACAGAAAAAATGGTGGCCTAAACGAATTTAACTCATTAATTAATTGTAACCTTTAAATTAATTAATTGTAATTAAATTGGTTATATCGCAATTGTAAATCTTTCTAAACATTTACAATTAATATATATCGAAATCATTATATACATTTAATTGATAATAATGCAACGTTTATATAGTTACAAAAATTATAAATATTATTAAGTTATAAATAAGAGTCTTTTATTCATAAATTTTGAAAAAACGATGATGTCTGGATTAAAGTAAGCACACAATGCCAAGTATCGAATTTATCATCGGCTACGTCAACGTTGGCGTGCCATTACCGTTGACCCGACAGTGCGCAAAGCGCAAACAATTTTCGCGCTTAAGTCGCGCATCAAAAACACATACTGCGCATACTGACGCGTATTCTCGAACGATTATTGAACGGGGAGGATAGCGATTAGCTGATCAGTAGATGCGCACTGTTGACCAATAGGAGTAAAACCAGGGGACAAAACTCAGGTTCCCTAGCAATATGGCTGTCAGTATAAATTTGATGCTCGTAACATGAGTTTCTCTTCAAGAAATTTGACAAGCGTAAGCGTAGTTTCGCGTTACGCGCGGCATGATCTGATTTTCGTATGTTCGGCAATGCGAAAATGGCAAAGCGGATCGGTTGAAGCCGAATCAAGACTGCCAAAACAATTTTTGAGGAAGCAGGTATGCGATCTATCGAGGTCGGTTCCTCGGTCTCTTGATCGTTCCTCGACAACTGATCACTTCGTCTATACCTATCCATATTGCACTCGGACTGATGCGTCATCATTTTATTCACGGTCCTTCTACATTCGAAAAATGAGATTATTCGAGTGAGTTATTCGAAAGATGCGATCGCTTGGAGTATCGCTGGCGTACCATCGCCGACACCACTGTCATCCCCGTCACCACCATCATCACCGTCACCACGACGACCAGTAGGCGTTTAGCGACGCATCCTTGCTTCTCCTCGCCTCGTCATCGCTACCTCATTCTCCGTTTTTATTTTCTCCAGACTAATTCTGTTCCACCGTCCTTGATATTTGCAACTATACTGATTATCATTTATCTCATTATTGCAACTTCACTCTGTTACTCCAAGATAATCTTCAGAATGCCAGAAGAAAGTTTGTCCAGTGTCATACAGCTGGATACACAGTTTTGTCCACTTAAGGATTAAGGAATCTTTCAATAGTTCTCTCTTGAGTATTCTTGACAACTAGTGATAGCACTGTCATTAATTTATATTTTAATCAATAATATATGTAGGAATATTATAAAAGTTTCATTAGATATTTTTACAAGTAAATAACCTTAAATTATTTGTAACTGTTTTGATTGTAGATATTCAAAAGTCGTCTATTGAGCAATATACTTTATCACCATGACGTCGAGGTAAATGTATATAATAAAAATTATATATTCCTTTTATTTTTTTATATGTGTAAATATATATATACGTTTGTATGTATGTGTATGTGTGTGTACATGTGTACTTATGCATATGTGTACATACAAAGTATTATACAATATGCTTTGAGAATGTATAATAGTAATACATTATATTACAAATACAACTGTATTAGTTATATATTATGAAAGATCCATTATAAACAAGTAAATATTTTTTTAAAATTATTTTTTATTAGTAACTTACATCATATGGATATTTTAACTTTTAGATTAGACAGACTATTCATATTGTTGGAAACTGGAACAAATGCAGTTACCAAAAGAGCAGCTGCGCAACAGTTGGGAGAAGCACAGAGATTACATCCTCATGATCTACATCACTTATTAGCAAGAGTCTCTACCTTATTAAAATCTTCACAATGGGACACTCGAATATCGGCTGCCCATGCTATACAAGCTATACTTGCTCAAGTTCCTCCTTGGAATCCACAGCCAATTAACAAGAAAGTCTCTACAGGTAATATTAATACATTGCATTAATTATTTTTTATATCACTAATAAGAATGTTGAAAGAATCAAAGCTCCAATTATATTACGTATGTTTTGAATTAATAGATAAATCCAAAGTGAAATGCAAGCCTTCCACTACCAGATTGAATTTAGAGTCTTTTGATATGAGCAAAGTTCTAGCTCGTAGTTCACATCTTACTGGATCTGAAGGCAGCGAATATGACTTGACTGTATCAGAGGGAGAACAATTGTCAGTTCCCAATCAACAAGAAAAATTAGCCGCAAAACTAGGTTTTCATCCACGTTTGATAGGCGTTGACGATTTATTTACTGTCGAGGATTTTACTCCAGTACAGGCACCATGTATAACACAAACTGCTACTACACCTTTCGACGATTCTGAAGGATTGTTGATGAGCAGAAGAGAAATGAATAGAGCAAAACGCAAAGTATTACGTTTCCAAACTTTTATATTTATAATTAATATTTTCTTTAAATTATATATATATATATATATATATATATATTGTAGTTTTTGTCAGAAAGTGTTAAAAACTTGAAAATATTCAGGATTGCTTCATATTTTATTTGCAAAGTGTACACAATAAAGATATTAATTATTTATATCTTAATAATAGGCTCGTCAGTCAGTGTCGAAACAACGATCGCGTGAACCGGATGATCATCGCACTAATGATGACAATTCAAATTCAATGAATGTTCAATCTCCAGTGAATATTGGTGAACCAGCAACCAAAAAAATTATACTAGAAGACACAATTGCATCAGACATTGGATCAAAAGGCAATATACCTAATGAGCAAGTAAATGGAATACCAGATAGCACTGGATGCTGGCCAGATTCAGTCATAGATTGGCCTTTAGAATCCTTCGCAGAAAGTCTTTGCCAGGATTTATTTAGTCAAAAATGGGAAGTGCGTCATGGATCAGCAACAGCTTTGCGAGAACTCATAAGACTTCATGGTAAAGGTATGTAATACATGTTATATAGTGAATATATGTAGTTCCCCGAACATTAATTAATAAACACTAAATACGTTTGGATATACAGGAGCAGGCAAGTCTACAGATCAAACTCTGGAAGAAATGCAAGAAAGCCATTACGAGTGGATGATTGATGCCGCCTTACGATTATTGTGTGTATTAGGGCTTGATCGATTTGGAGATTTCGTGTCTGATCAAGTTGTTGCTCCAGTACGAGAAACATGTGCTCAAGCATTGGGATCGCTTTTCTTATTAGTACCTGGTTCAAATACCAAAGATACGAATGGTGTTTTTCCTGGAATACTTTCTGTAATTCTCAAACTGTTGGAACATAATGAATGGGAAGCGAGACATGGTGCATTTCTTGCTTTAAAATATTTATTGGCCGTACGAGACGATCTATTGGACGAGGTATTGCCACAAGTGTTTCCTGCTATCATGCAAGGATTATCCGATACTGTCGACGATGTAGGTGCAGCCGCCGCAAGTGCACTTATACCAGTAGCACATGCCCTTCCGCGGTTATTAAAATCAACAGAACTGGAAACTATTGTAATACGTCTTTGGCAATTATTGAAAGAACAAGATGACTTAGCTGCAGCTTGTAACACTTTTATGGGTCTCTTGGCTGCGATACTTTCATTACCAGCCGCACATGCTTGTTTAACGCCCCAGCCATTGTCGCAGGTAATGCAACAATATCTTAGTTCTTTCTCTTGGCAAAGGCGAGAGAAATATTTAAATATTTTTCAACATTTATTTAGGTATTACCACGTTTATGGCCATTTCTCAGTCACTCAAGTTCAAGTGTACGTAAAGCCACATTACAAACGTTGCAAACTTTAACTGGGAACGATAGCAATTATAGCGAAAACAAAAAGGAACGATGGGGTGAAGGTGGTGGATTAGTTTTACAGGAAACATTGAGGCATGTGTTCCAATGCGTGTTAATTGAACATATTAGCACGATACAAGACGTGGCCGAACGTGTCTGGGAAAATCTAGTCGTGCAGAGTGATCTCGAATTATTGCTACATGCGGCGTGCCCTCATGTCAGTACATGGCTATGCCTTGCCATGCAACCAGAACATGTGCCATTCAACCCAAATTTGTTAATGACAGTTGCTAGTTCTATTAAGGGCACAAAGAATAATCAAATGGTCGCCTACTGCGATGGACAATCTGATATTAATAGCGGAAACAGTAATATTAATGCAAATGCAAAATCGTTATCTGAATTGAAAATGTACATTGGTGGGATCGAAACAGTAGCATTGAATGTACGAAAAGCAAACGTAATACAGGCTCGTTGTAGAACGTCTCGTATGTTAGGATTGTTGTCGCACTACGTCGTGCAACCTGCACCAGGTGTCATTTATCCACCAGATGTGCCTAGTCCAGCACTTTGTTATGCTAAAGTGCTATTGGCACATCTCAATTCACGATCGGCGCTGCAACGTACTGTTGTGGGGCTCACAATGTCTAGTTGGGCAACTGTAGACTCATTAAGAATACCCACGATACCGGACATACTCAGGTACAAAGCAGTAACAACTTTTATGAACATAAAAATTATTTCGTGTATCTATATTAATGAAATAAAATTTCTTTTTTAGTGACAGATTATTAGCTTGTTTAAATGAATGCATGTACTATGATGAAATTGCAGCTTCCTTCACTCGACTACTACACGAAAGTCATGATTACATCGCAACTTTAAAACATTATAAATTAATGATATCATTTGAAATAGACTCATCGAGTGTGATGACTCTTGATCAGATCGCTGCACTTGCTAGGAGAAGACTTCCTGCCATTTGCACTGTTGGTACAAACGCAGGAGGAACTGAAAATATTAGTAGTTGTTCAATAACTACTAGATTGAAACCTAAATTAATGGATAGCTTAGAGGAAAGGAGACGAGCATTGGATATCGGAGCGACTACGATGGCAGCGCAACAACAATCATTGCATGTTATGTCAATGGCCGCGCTCGCTGGTGCCGCTACAATGTTACATATCCTTCCTCAATCTCCTCAACCACTTAATCCATTAGTAAAGCCGCTAATGGAAGCTATAAAACGGGAGGAAAATGAGGAACTACAAAAACTGGCTGCAAAACATCTATCTCATCTAGTTGAGCTTTGTGTTGATAGAAAACCATCTCCGAATGCAAAGGTTTGCATATAAAATAGGATACCATACAATCGTAAAGACTTAAAACAAATATGACATAAAATATCTCAAAACTATCAAATAGTTTTTTCCTTCTGATATGCTACAAGGTATTACCAAATAATCACTTGTTACAGATTTCTACCAATCTATGTACATTCTTATGTTCTGACCTTGAATTTACACCAAGGGTATGTTGCGACAGTGAAGTTTACGATGGAATACTCACCTTGAATAACAGACAAAAACATGCTGAGAGAATAGCATATAATCGTGGTGCAAGTAGTGGACTTGGCAGCGGTAGAGGTCCTGGTAGACCACCAACGACTGAGATTCCCCTTGAGGAATTACTTGCTTGCGAAGAACCAGAAGCCAAAGCTGCTAGAACACGTCGTCGCGGAGCTACATTTGCATTAACAGCTATAGGTATATATGTATACAGCAATATTTAGAAAAATCATTTCTAAATGAGATACAAAGGAATCAATTAAATTTGTATTAATTAATTGTATATAATTTTAATGAGAACTGTAATAGCTATTTATGTATATGTAAACTTTGTTTAAAATATTTCCATATTTTTGAAGCTACTCTCTTTGGTGCTCAATTATCTGATCGCTTACCTCAACTGTGGAATTTGATTTTACCGAACACGCTAAAAGATGCAACCAAACAAAATGCTGTACAAGAGGATGAAGGAAATCTATTAATTGTCGGTCTACAAGTATTAGAAATCATGGCACCAAGTTTAGATAAGTTTTTGTTACCGCCTGTATTAGAAGTTCTACCACGTTTATGCGATCTACTAACTCATTCATACAAAGCTGTTAGACACATGGCCTCGCGATGTATAGCTACATTAGCTACTTTAGATACAGAGAAGGTAATTTTAAGCTTTATCAATACATATTGATAACGATAAACATAACGATAGAGAACAAAAGATTAAGAATAGTTTTTTCTTTTAGACAATGTTACACATAATACGCAGCGTTATACCACTCCTGGACACAAATGGCAGTGAGAAGAGATACTTCTCAGGCATAGTGGCACCAAACAAAGTCGATTTCGTACGCCAAGGAGCTGCGGAAGCTCTAACTTGCATCGTCGAAAGCTTAGGTGTACATGTGGTGCCGTATGCAGTACTCTTTATGGTACCTTTATTAGGACGTATGAGCGATCAAAATCAATCTGTAAGACTAGTGTGTAGCGCAACTTTCGCTACGCTCGTGCAACTGTTACCACTAGATCCTGGCGCAATTGCAGATCCACCAGATCTAGTGTACGTTATTCCTGCAAGATTATACATACAATTTTTGGTAATATGTGCCATTGGTGCATACAAAAATTAATTCGCTTTCTGTAAATAACGAGCGATCACAAATAACATTATAGAAATATTAGTTCAGTAACTGTTAAGATAAATATGGAGTTTAGGGGAGCCATCCCCAATGACCTTAACATATGTTGTCAAGATCAGGATTCTGAATGACCTTGAGAAAATTTTAATCATCGACCTCACTTTAAAAAGTTATGAACAAAAAAAGTTTAAACCATATAATTAATTTAGATAACAAAAACTCCTATATAAATCAAATATAAACTTGGAGAGAAAGGGTACTAGGAGTCAGGAGTCAAATATTTCTTGATCCTTTTTTTAATTTTATTTATGTTTTTACATTATCTCTGAAGAAGGCTAAAAAATGAGCCAAAACATGTAAGTACATCTATCATAATAAAGAATATTGTTATACATTAGTATTTGCGTAAAGTTATCTACGCCTGACTCCTAGTGCCCTTTCTCTCCAAATTTATATTAAAAAAAGTTTAAGAAATAATGTCTCAATTTTTACTATATAAACCAAGAGTCGCACCCTTGCACATAAGTTCCGATTTTACATGTGAAACGAGAGCTATCTCACACCAAAAAATTGGTTGGGTTGGGTTATATTTTTTCAGCAGTGGAGCTTTCGCAGGGGGGAGGGTGGCACGTACTGTGTATTTACGCATACACTTTACAACATTCAGTACTTTACAAATTTACTTTAAAAACAACAAAAAATAATTTATTTTTGAAGTGATGAATTTGTTTGCATAAAGTAGTGAATTTGTTTGTAAAGCAATGAATTTGTCTGTGAAGAAGTAAATTTGTAAAGCACTGAATGTGTAAAGTGTATGTGTGAATAGTAGGTCCACCCCCCTGTGGGAGGGCTCCACTACTGAAAAAAAAAACTAACCCAATCTATTTTTTGGTGTGAGGCAGCTCTCGTTTCATATGGAAAGTCGGAACTTATGTACAACAGTATAATCATAGAAGTCGTGTGATCTTGACTTATATAACAAAAATAAGACATTATTTCTTAAACATTTTTGTTTATAATTTTTTAACAAGTGAGGTCCGACGGTTAAAATTTCCTCAAGGTCACTTAGGATCATGACCTTGATAATATATATCAAAATCATTGTGGATGGTTTTCCTATTTATTACTATTAAATAAAAATTTAAATTAATAGACAATGTGGAAAAGAAAAAACGAATGATAACACAATACAATCATTGAATGTCACATCTGATTATATTTACTAATTTCACCACAATATCGGTTTTTGAAATAGTGAATTCATGGATTAAGCACAAGCTATAAAATTTGATTAATAACGACTGCGTTTCATTATTCACTGCGATTACTGAAAGTCTAATTCATGTTACATATACTACAGATTTTCAGCAGTGAATAACAAAACACAGCTATTAATTAATATTTAAAATAAATATTTTATTATTGAATATTGTAATATTTTAAAAGTTATTCTAAGGTACTATATCGCTTTATTCACCAATCGTATATATAGATACATATTATCAAAAACTTACATGGCACTTGAATCCAATGTTCCTTATGTAATATCATATCACAGGCAAGAAAAGGCACAAGAGAGAAAGTTCTTGGATCAACTTCTAAATCCTCATAATATTTCTGATACGGAGCTACCGATTCCTGTAGCCGCAGAATTACGTTCGTATCAACAACAAGGCTTAAATTGGCTCAATTTTTTGAATCGTTATCATCTTCACGGAGTTTTGTGTGACGACATGGGGCTTGGAAAAACATTACAAACGCTCTGTATCTTGGCATTGGACCATCATCGTAATCCACAGGCACCGACTAGTCTAGTAATATGCCCGCCAACTCTAACCGGTCATTGGGTATATGAAGCTGAGAAATTTTTCAAAACAAAAGATTTGTCAGTTATTCAATATGTCGGTACACCACAAGATCGCGAGAAATTACGTCTTCGGGTGCCACATCACAGACTCGTAGTTGCAAGTTATGATATTGTACGAAAAGACATTGAATTCTTCGAAGCACATCAATGGAATTATTGTGTACTCGATGAAGGTCATGTAATAAAAAACGGTAAAACGAAAAGCGCCAAAGCCACAAAGCGATTGCATGCTAATCATAGGCTTATATTGTCCGGCACACCTGTACAGAACGATGTACTCGAATTGTGGTCTCTTTTCGATTTTTTGATGCCAGGCTTCCTCGGTAGCGAGAAACAATTTGCTGCTAAATATTCCCGTCCTATCTTGGCCTGCAGAGAGCCGAAGGCAGGACCAAAAGAACAAGAGGCTGGTGCTTTAGCTATGGAGGCTCTTCATAGACAGGTAATTTGTGTGTTCCCCCCATTCTTATTAAAGTTCTTTAGTTTAAGTTCTGTCACGGTAATTCATTACGATAATCGATTATAGGTATTGCCGTTCTTATTGAGACGAAACAAAGAAGACGTGCTGCAAGATTTACCACCCAAAATCACGCAAGATTATTACTGCGATTTATCGCCTTTGCAACGTATACTTTACGAGGATTTCCGCACTCGTCATTCCGCTCTCACTAACAGTTCCTCGTCTTCTAATGATTCTCAAAGTAACGTGTTCGAAGCACTACGGTATTTGCGTAATGTGTGCAATCATCCAAAATTGGTGTTAAGTCAAGGGCATCCACTGTATCGAACAGTACGTATTCAAAAACAGAAATGTTTAAAAAGAAATATATTTAAAAAATTACAATATCAAATCTTATTTGGACCGTGAGAGTTTCAAACTAAATACCGATGAGAATAAATCATTAACGATCAAGCTAGATCTTGGAAGATTCTAATATAATTTTCGTGTGAATTTATATACTACATATGTAGATCTCTAAATGCGCGCTGAAATTTTTTTCAGACTTACAAAACACAAACTAATAAACTACCACAGTACTATCACGAGTTAAATTGACTAACAATCTGACAATTTTGATGTATGCCTAATGGCTTATTCTCATTGATATTTAAAAAATTACTCAGAGAAAAAAATATTTACATAAAATTTTGTCTTACATTTCTTAACTTTTTCATTTAGAAATTGTCAATGAAATAAAAAGGCAATTAAGAGTCAATATTATATGTGTGAACTAATAAAACATTTAATATATTATAAATTAAAATAAAATAACAATAAACTAAAATTCACACTATAAATGCGCACGCAAACAGAAGTCAAACCATAAC